AAAAAAATTAAATTAAATATATATTTAGCTTTGGTTGTGAACCTTAGGGGAAAAAAAATATAAAAAAATAAAATAAAATTGGATCAAGTTGGGTTGGGAAAAATCTAAATCCATTAGAAGATGGGGAGGGTAGTACCCATGGGGGATGGGAAAAAATAATTATAGGGGAATAGGGATGGAGAATTAATAACCACGCCATTGCCCTCAATTGCCATCCCTAGCCCCAGGCTAAAATAGCTAAAAAAATAAAAAAAATCAACTCACTTCCCAAACAAACCCTTATAATAATTTTTAAAATTTGTTAATTAAAATATTTGGTTCCCAAACATCCTATTAGTCTAAAATGTAGGGGAATTTATCAAAATTCGAGCATCAGCCCCCCTCTCTTTTGTCTGAACTTTCTTATCCAACGCCAAACCCAAATTTATCTCAAAAAATTCAGATGGGTTGGATTGTCTAAATTTTTTAAAAAATATAAAAAAAAAATGAATAAATTACAAATACACTCTTTGACGTTTGATTATAATATAAATCGCTTCCTGTAGTTCTGAAAATTACATTTCACCCTTTGAAGTTTCTAATTTTATAACAAATCTCCCATTTTATTAATAAATTGTCAAGTCAATTAACTGTTTTTAATGATATTAAAAATATGTTTCAATTAATAATTTTAGTAATTTTATTATTGTATAGGAGAGTGATACTGAATTTCAAATTTTCAGTTAATTTTGTTAAATAAAAAATTATGACAGGGGGTATTCATAATTTTTCAAATTATAGGGAGCAATCTATATTTTAAGGAAATCTCAAATGGTGTATTTGTAATTATCCAAAAAAAATTCAACATGTTGTCCTAAATTATAGTGTTGCACTTTATGAAATAAAATAAAAACTTTTAAAATTATAATCATGAAACATAATGAGAAATTAGTTTGTGTCAGTGTGTACAAACACCAAAACATATAAAATTACAAAAAGGGTTGTTTAGGATGTTTGGGATGACTTAAATAAGTGTATTTTTTATCTTTTTATGAAAAGATGTGAAGAAAAGTAAAGAAGAGATGTGATAGAAAAAAGATAAAAAGATAAAAAGTTAGATTATTTGGGACTTCCCAAACTTAGCCTAACATTACAAATTTTAAACCTGCTGATAAATGTGTACTAAAGGCAATCAGTTAACAAAATCTTAAATAATTTTACTTCATCGTGAAAGCCCAATAATATTGGGCCCAATACAAAATGACCTTTTCCAGGTGTCAATCAATTCTGGATGAGAAACGACAGATATAAACAGCTTGTTGGGCCATATATTTTTAAATTGGATTTGGGAATGGGTCCTCTAAAGTGGGCCCAGCCCAACGAAGTCCAAAACCTTTTTATTTTATTTATTTCGTGTAAAATTTATTATTTATTATTTATTATTACTGTAAAAAAAAGTTCGAGGGTTTTTTTTGTTTGTTGAAACATTTTGGTCAAAGACTTGCCATCCAATCTCTTGATTGATTTGCATCTTCGTTTGTAAAATGGAAGCTCAAAATCCTTTGGTCTTGCATAGGATTTGGTGGTGATGCTGTCTTCTCCACAGTCGATACCAAAAATGAGCTTGACATCACTGGTTCTGAGTTTCATTTCCTTTTTGCCAAGTACAAATGATCTTTTTCTTTTGTTGTAGAGTGTTGTCATTTCTGCTACAATGGAATTGTAGCATCTGCACCAAGAGGCCTTCAGTTGTGTTGAGGAGAGAGCATTTATAAGGGGCCAAAAAGGGGTTTTTTGCAGCTCTGTCTGTTGGGCTTTTGTGAATTTGACCCCCTTCAACAGTTTGATTACCGTTCCGATGTTGGAACGATAATTAAATTGTTGGACTCTCTTTGCAGGGACTGCTGGTTTTTTTTCTTTTGATGCCTTGGTTGTTGTTTTGGGAGTTGATTGGCTTTCTTGGAGCTTTCTTTTTTTGGTTGGAGGAGCTTCTTGGTTTTTTGTTGGCTTTCTTTTGTTTGTTTTTGTTGTGGTTGGAGGTGTGGTTGGTGTTTGTTGGGTGGGTGGGGTCTGTGGTGTAGTTCTTGGGCTTTTTCTTGTAGGTGGTGTGGTTGTTTTGTGGGTTTTTTGGTGGGGTCTGTTGGGTTTGGTTGTTTTTGGGTGTGGTGGTGGCATTTGAGTGGATACAGGAGAGGGACTTTCAAAAGGGGAGATGGTTAAATCCCTGATTGGATTTGTGGGCATACGGGTTTGTTTCTTCCAATATCTTCCAACAGCTATTTCTGAAAAAATGAAAGTGACAACAGGGTATGAGTAATATAGTGACAAAACTGTATAATTTTGAAGTTTTATATGCAGTTTAATATGAAGTTATATGTATTTTGTTGGTAAGAGTTACGAAACTGTATAATTTGACAGTTTGATTTGCACTTTATAATAAGTTAGCTATTTGTTTTGAGTAGTGGTTAAACTGTGTAATTTTGCAGTTTCATTTGCATTTTGAATAAATTTAGATATGTTGCTTGTATAGTGATGAAATGAAACACTATGATGTTGCAGTTTTTATAAGGAAACAGTATGAACATAGGAACAGCCCATTGTATTTTGTAAAAAGCAACAATGACAACAAGAAGATTAAAAATTCAAAAATAAGAATAAGAGAAGCCAATATTGAACAACAAGAATAAGAATAAGGTGTTGAATGTGTAAAAACAGGGATTTATGTGTAAAAACAGTGTTTAGAATGTTGAAAAACAGGGGACTATATATATATTAAAAGAGGGTTTATACATTTGGAAGTATGTAAAATGTGTATATAAGAAATATTAAAGAATGATGTACAAATGTGAAAAATAATGAATAGGTGAAGAGAGATGTTACTTTTTTTCCCCATTTTTGTGAATCGGAAGTCAGGAACTATGAAATCTCTTCAGAGTGGTGATGGTTCTTCGTGTTGTTGAGAGTCGCCGATTGGAGAATATGAACGGCTTGGTGTTGTGTTGAAGTTGAACGGTTTGGTTTTGTGGTTAGGGTAGGGTTTCAGAGAGAATGGAGTCGAACGGAGGAGAGATGGAGGATTGAGAATGCGATTTCGAGTGGCGGAGATGTAACAGTGTACTGATCAGACTGAGATGATTGTGGGTGATGAAGATGAACGGTTACGTTTTCTGGTTAGGGTTAGGGTTTCAGAGGGGATGGAGTTGAACGGAAGAGAGATGGAGGACTGAGGAGTCGATTTCGAGCGGCGGAGACGTGACAGTGTAATGATCGGACTGAGATGATGGGGACGTGGGAGATGGTTGCGCGCGTGTAAATTGGATGATATATTGTGGGTATTTTCGTCTTATTGTTAATTTGAGGACTTAATGGAGTATTAAATTTGTTTTGGGTCTAAATGGGGTATGATATGTTGGGCTTGGACCTTTGGGTCAGTCTCCCTTTTTTGTATTCACATTCGGCCATTGGCAGGCACATTTGGATCACATTTGGGTGGGTTCTTCACATGCTTAAGCCCATTTGCTAAGACGTTTTTATTTTTATTTTTTATTTTTCAACAGATAGGAAAGTAATTACATTATGAGAAATATTTAATTATTTATATTATTAAATAAACAGACTATTAGTCTATAATAATTAAAAAGTTAACAAAATCTAACAATCAATTCGCAATGTCCACCAAGCCAAGTTCAATAACAATCACTAATTGTCTAACAACCAATCCACCATGCCCATCAAGCCAAGTCCAATAATCACTACTAATCATATACAACCCTTATAATGGAAAAGAAATAAATCAACCACCACAAAAGATATCAAACTCCTCTCCAGAAGAGTTAAACCTAAGATCACACACTACAAAGGGTGCTATACAACTATTAGGCCAAATGCCTTTGTTTATTTGATAAGAAGTTCAAACACTATAAAGAGGGAAATTTATGATTTGTATTCTCAAAAATGGGTATATTATAAGAAGATTATGAGTTTTGTTCGGATTGTAGGGATTTAAAATAGTGTGCACAAGCTAATTCAAGATACTTTATACATAACAAACACACAAAAAAAAAAATAATAAATAAAAAATCTAAGGTTTAAAATGTGTTTGATATCGATAGTAGTGGTTAAAGAATTTTGAAACTTTTGACATTAAAATGAGATTTTATTTTATTAAATTTTACAAAAATTAAATTCTTTTAGAAAAGCTAATCACCTAAAAAAATTGTCTAGAAGCTTATCCGAAAAAGTGATACGTGACCTAAATTCAATTCTTATATGGTGGTATGATAGGCTTCACACTTAAATAAATCTCAAGTACACAAATTACTATATTTTTTTCGGATTTGGTTGGTAGCTCGAAATTTAGGGGCCCGAATGCCCCTAAATTTCCATATAAGGCAAAAAAAAAAAAAACAAGGCAAAAAAAAAGAAAAAAAAAACAAACTTATCCAAAAAAAGGAAATTAGGGCCATTAGGGCCACTGTTTTTAGGGCCACAATTCATTTTCCTATTTTTTTTAAAACTTTTTCTTTGTGAGCTTTGCACATTAATTTAAGTGACTTAATTAGTTGATACATCAATTATGGACAAGTAAAAACCTTTTAACGTTGTATAACACGAGTTGACATATGACAAGATGCCAACTAAGAAACTATCACTACAAAACTTCTAAAGCAACTGTCCTCTACCCACAAATAAGACACACGGTGGCTTGGCATTCTTAAAAGTTATTTATTTATTTTGACTATGCCAATTGTTCGTGCATATTTCAATGGACATGATATTTTAATATTGAATATTATTTGAAAAGTTAATTAAAAGTTGATTTTTTTAATTTTTTTTAATTTTTTGTGACTTTTTTAGTTAAAAAAGTTAACTTTTTTTGTATTTTTTTGACTAAAAAAATTAAAAAGCTAAAAAGCTACCTTTTTATGAAGTTTCCAAAACGCCATCAATTTCACCAATACCATTCTAATGGTTAATCTGATACTTTGATACAACTAATACTCATAAAAATGTTTGGTCACAGAAATTACTTTCCAAAAAGTCTCTTGTAATCCAAATTAAGAAAAAAATAAAAAAAAGTTTCTTGCAATCATAATTTAGTTTTGTTGATGGGGGCAGAAATGCCCTAATTAGATTTGGCTTTATTTTAGAAAGGCAAATCATTAGAAAAGAATTTTTGAGATGTCTAGTTGAAAAATAATTTTAAGAAATCTTATGATTTTACAATTAGAGTTGATCTCCTATACCAATTTGACACAAAGTTTGATAGATTATCAAAATTTTCCTCTCTATCTCTCTTTTGATGGAGACTACAAACGCTGTTTGTATTTGATTTTTATTATAAAAAAAAAAATAACAGAGACAATATTCTTTTACATTGGATCAGCATTGCTAAATTTTAGTATTTTGACTATTGTAACATTTGATTATTTTTATTTCATTGTGAGAGTTGTATTGTGTTGTTGTTTATTTCTATCTGTTATGAGCTATTCTTTGTGGTGATTGTTAAGATTGTAGACATGCATTATTAGATTATAATTATTCTTATATTTATAATTAATCTCTTACCAATTGAAAAAAATATATTAAAATATGTCAAAATCTAATTGTAATATGCTAGTTTGACAATTTAATATTGCAAAATGTTTTTAGTTTGTTTGTTAGATTTCTTATATGTTTAACAACTTTTTTTGTTCCTGAATTTGCTGGCATCCAATTCGATCCATTCTCTCTCTCTCTCTCTGTTCCTTTTTCTTTTTCATTTTTCCTTTTTAATTTTTGTTTTTGTAAGGGTTGGCCTAACCTATATGTGTGTGTTGGTTTCATTAATTCACTTGGTCCTTGGGCATCGATTCAAGATGTTGAACTTTGACTTTAGGAGCAAATCGATTATGTTACTCAATTTAATTATCGATTTATGCAAAATTTTTATATAAAATTTATCACCAAGATGATATGACAATAATATTTACGTAATTAAATATCAATTAAATGGATGCTTTATTTCATTATAATTATATCATTTTCTATAACTATACAAAAATTGATCTTAAAATCAGATATTCAATTCTTGTATTTTAAAACTTTTTCAAATATAATAATAAGTTTAGGGAGCCTTCCTAATTTACTCAAAAATTTACCAACTATCTACGTAGCAGCCTACCTTAATGTGGGGATTCTTTTTACTTAAAACGAAAAAAAAAATACATAGAAAGAGAACAAATTCATATGAATCTAATTAAGTGATTATTAATAAAATCTACATACATAGCCAAAAAGAAGAAAAAAAAGAAAAGAAAAGCCTTACATAAATAAGTGATTACCAAATTAAGTTATCAAAATGTATTATTGATATCAAAAGCCTCACGTGAATAAGTTATTACAAAACTATCAAAAAAACAAATTCGTATGGATCTATCAAAACTTAGAAATAAAAAAAAAAAATTACAAAAAGAATAAATTCATCTTTCAATGTCAACTTTTTTTTTTTGTCTTTTCTTTTGATTAAAAAATCAATGAACCTGTATCAAGGTATCTGATTTAATTTGTTTGTCTGAGTTTACAAAAAAAAAAAAAAAAAAAAAAATTCTAAAAGATTTCAGAAATTAGTTTGGTAAAGAAAATAAAACATAATTATTTTTATATGATTTTTTATTTTTTTGTAAAAACACTACTAGAAAATGGTTTTTTGCGTCTATTTTTTTGCGACCGTCTATTTAATCGTAGCAAAAAATATACTTATGACAACATTTTTCAAGGTGTTTATTTTCCCTATTTTCTTTTATTTATATTTGCCCTAGTCTGGCACAGGCTCGCTCAAACTCTTGACATTGTTCTCTTTCTCTCGCTCACCCATCGTCGTCTGAAGAACAACGGTATGAATCTCTCTCTCTCTCTCTCTCTCTCTCTCTCTCTCTCTCTCTCTCTCGATCTATCAATATCTCTTGATCTCTCTCGCATACTCTCTGTATATACATTTGCTAGGGTTTGGATCGATTCATTCATCTGCCCTTCGCGATTTCTGTTCTTC